TGCAGGGGTGTGTCCCGATTGAAGTCCACTTCCATCGTTCACTGCGTCTGCGCACAGCCCTTGGCCAGTCCCAAAGTTCAGAGATGGCGGAGGCGGGGGGGCGGCGCGCGAGCCGGGTCGGAGGGGAGCAATGCAATACCTGAAGATGGGGGTCGTGGGTCAGAGCTGCAGGGGTGTGTAGGAATATATATTTTTTATCACTATAGAAAAGCAGTAAATACACATTTTTAAAATTCATCACAATTTCTCATGAACTCTTTCTTTAAAAAGTTGCAAATAGAAATACCATTTGACCCAGAAATTCCACTACTGGAGATATACCCCAAAGAAACCATAACTGCCACCCAAGTAGATATATGCACACCTATGTTTATCACGGCTTTGTTCACAATAGCAAAGAGTTGGAAACAACCTAAGTACCCATCAACAAACAAATGGATAGAGAAGCTGTGATATATTCACACAATGGAATACTACGCAAAGAACTCATGCAATATTATACAGAATGGGTGACCCTGGAGGGCATTATGCTGAGTGAAATACTTCTATCACAAAAGGACAAATACTGCATAGTGCCACTGTTGTAAAATGGGACTGATATCAGGGTTGGGGGGAGACTGAGAAAGATGGGATAAATTATGTGTACTGCATTGAAACAGATGAAGGAGAGAAATGTTTAAAAGAGATATATGATTAGCTGTTATTGTCATGATAGGAGTCCAGAACAAAGGCTGCATAGTGGAGTGAACTTGGAGGGAGGTATTGTATACAATGAAAGAATTTTTCTTTTACTTTTCAAAGAGAAGAGTGAACTGGGGGGAAGGGGTGGGTAGGGAGAAAAGTGCAACAATTAATGAATGGAAATCCAAAAGTGTCTGTAAACTTTCATTAAAATTAATAATTTTAAAAAAGTAAAAATAAATCTTCTTTAATATCTTCTAATGATTTGCCTGTCCTGGAATATATTCTCTCTTCTGATATGAATTCTACAAGAAAAAGTGGACATTAATAATATCCTTTTTATTGTTAATTTAAAAAAATGTTTTATTCATTTATTGTTGCATATTTTCCTTCTTCCCCTCCCCTACTTTAACCTTAGACTCTTACCAGACACCTTATTAGACATTCATAGGAGTCCAGGGGTAGTGTTAATAGTTAACACACTATTCTGCCCTAAGTTTGCAAGTTCAAGCTCACCTAAAGGGTCCTAGGAAGAAAGCCTATCCATCTGTTTCCAGCCACTGAGAACCTTATGGAGCACAATTTGACTCTGGTACACAAGGATCACTGAGCTGGAATAGATTAGATGGCAACTGAACTTTTCTACTGTCATACTGTTAAAAATAATTCCTTATTTAACAGATGAATCTTTCAAATGGTTTGATAAATCAAGTATGACATTTGCTAAGTGGACAGACCAAGATGATGGTGAGGATCTAGTTGACACCTGTGCATTTTTGCACACCAAGACGGGTGAATGGAAAAAAGGAAATTGTGAAATTTCTTCGGTGGAAGGAACACTTTGTAAAGCAGCTAGTAAGTATAAAGGCTTCTTTCCGTTTTAAGGGTGGTCAGAGAAGGGCCAAGTTTTGAGATGGCTTTGAAATTAGTACACTTCAAAAAGAGTAAATGTTCAGAATATATTAGGATAGTTTGTTCTTGAGTAGCTGGAAGTCAAATAATTCTCTAAAGTTAGTTGCTGAAAACCTACTATAGGGTCAGTTATGAGTTGATCTTGACTCGATGGTACTTAGCAACTTAAATTTAGGGTCAGATGAACCAGACCCTAAATAATTTTATTCTGTACACTTTTTTTGAGGGGCCCAGCCCCTTCTGCTTGAGTTTGTGCACTTACTTTGCACTAAGTAAAAAATGTCTTTTGCTCAGGAAATGATCAAAATAGTGTGCTTTAATGTGATTTGCTTAAGCAGTGGAAATGATGTGAAGAATGATGTATGATTACAAATTCCTAATTAGCTAGGTTACTTTGCAAGACTATTAGATTCTATATAAATACTAACATCCTTTTATAAAGTCAACAAAAAATACATCATGGCTTAAAATTCTGGGTTAAAATATTAATTTTGGGCTAACCAATTAAAAATATTTTAAAAATAATAGAATTGTCCTGGTTCACAACCATAGCTTGATGTTATTGCTGAACACTGAACACAGTTTATATTTCTGCATTTTAGAAAATGTTTCTCATTAAAGAAATTTAAAATTTCCAAAGGTGACTTTGAGGAGCTTGAAACATGAAATAAACAGCCATTTCCCCATTTTACATCTTTGTACCCTCCATCTCTACTTCCACCGTAAACCAAAACAGTATAGCTGGCTCTGTTTATTTCCTTTCTTTATAGCTGAAATTATATCCCACCTTTCCCATCACAGCAGGGTGCTGGACTACAATCAGTTATATTGTCACGGCATAAATAGTTGTTGTAGATTTATGGTATTATGGCATTCAACTTCCAGTATTTTTCTGATTTTTTAAAGATTTTTTTTTTCTGTGCACTAGACATCCACACCCTTAACACATAATTTTTTTACTGTTCTGGTAGCCTAATCCGTAGGCAGCTGCCTTACTACTACTCAAAACACCATGCCTCTCTGGTGGTTCAGTTTATCAGGGACTCGAAGATGGGCAATCACTTCCCTTTTTATAATATCTGAAACCCAGTGGAGGGTCATCTGAGTCAATTCTGACTCAACAACAGTGACCTTTTGCATTAATCATTTGTAACTAAACTGGAAGTTTAAAACATCCGAATTGGCACACAAATCCATACTGAATGTAAGGTCAGTCTGGTGGCTGAGTGCTAAGGAGCTGTGCTGCCAACACAAAGGCATGTCATTCCAATCAGATAGCTTCTCTGTGGGATAAAGATCAATAATCTTCCATGCCATTACTGCCTCTCAAAACTCACTTGAAGGTCAGATGAGTCCATTCCAACTTATCAGCACCTAACACTACTTTTCTACAGTCTGCAGCCAGCATCTTGTTATTTCTCCCTTAGCATCATTCTTTTTTAGTTACCATATTCTTTCTCTAGCAACCAAGCTAAAGGATTGTGAGCCTGCTAATTGTTTTTTAAAACATTAAGTTCAAAATAAGGACTCTGTTGTCCTAGTAGTAAGAAGCTGTGCTACAGTACTAAAGGCACGTGGTTTGAAACCACCAGCTGTTCTTTGAAGAGAATGGGAAATCTCCTGTGTGATTTACTGCCTCTGAAAACCTGCTGGACAGTCAGCTATGAGTCGCTTCCAACTCAAAAGCCATGTGACAAGTTCAAAGCAAATAACAAATTGGCAATGTGATAGAAATATGGGTAATATATAAAAAGCTACTATAGGGTATAAAATGACTTTTTAGGTATCTTGGAAGCGTTTAATATTTTTTTTAAAGTGTACTTAAGTTTTAATTTGTCTCTTCTTTTGTATTTTAGTACCCTATGAAAAGAAATATTTATCAGGTAAGTTATGCTCTGTTTAAATTTTTCTCATAAGTAACAACGCATTGTTAAAATTAATGCATGTTAATAAAATGTAAAGATCTGTTTTTAATTAGTTATATAACCAAAATACAAAAACTTTTGTAAGAATACAAGAGGATTGGGAGCACTGGTGGCCTAGTGGCAAGAAGCAGCACTGCAATCCCTAGAGGCAAGTGGTTCAAATCTACCAGATGCTCTGCTGGAGAAGGAGGGGCAATCTCTTCCTGTACCAGTCAGATTCGATTTGACGGTATATACACAAAAAATAATAAAATTTAAAAAGGATCATTGTCTTAGTAATAAAATTATATTTTCAGGATATTGAAAATTATGAAATAACTTTTTAAAAATATTGTATTTTCCCCATTGACTTCAGTTATCTTTTTTTTAAAATTTTTTTTAATTTTATTATTATTTTTGTGTGTGTGTACCGTCAAATCAGATCTGACTGGTACAGGAGGAGATTGCCCCTCCTTCCCCGGCAGAGCATCTGGTGGATTCGAACC